GCTTGGTATTTACTGGGTGTTTTATTATGTGGACAGTTAGATATTTCTGTTTGATTGGGTGGTAATGAACCTTGTTATTACCAGCTTGGTATTTACTGGGTATTTTATTATGTGGACAGTTAGATATTTCTGTATTGATTGGGTAGTGATGAACCCTGTTATTACCAGCTTGGTATTTACTGGGTGTTTTATTATGTGGACAGTTAGATATTTCTGTTTGATTGGGTAGTGATGAACCCTGTTATTACCAGCTTGGTATTTACTGGGTATTTTATTATGTGGACAGTTAGATATTTCTGTATGATTGGGTAGATGAACCTGTTATCACCAGCTTGGTATTTACAGGGTATTTTATTATGTGGACAGTTAGATATTTCTGTATGATTGGGTAGATGAACCTTGTTATTACCAGCTTGGTATTTACTGGGTATTTTATTATATGGACAGTTAGATATTTCTGTATGATTGGGAAGTGATGAACCCTGTTATTACCAGCTTGGTATTTACTGGGTATTTTATTATGTGGACAGTTAGATATTTCTGTATTATTGGGTAGTGATGAACCTTGTTATTACCAGCTTGGTATTTACTGGGTATTTTATTATGTGGACAGTTAGATATTTCTGTATTATTGGTAAGTGATGATATTACCAGCTTGGTATTTACTGGGTATTTTATTATGTGGACAGTTAGATATTTCTGTATTATTGGGTAGTGATGAACCTTGTTATTACCAGCTTGGTATTTTATTATTTGGACAGTTAGATATTTCTGTATTATTGGGTAGTGATGAACCCTGTTATTACCAGCTTGGTATTTACTGGGTATTTTATTATGTGGACAGTTAGATATTTCTGTATTATTGGGTAGTGATGAACCTTGTTATTACCAGCGTGGTATTTACAGGGTATTTTATTATGTGGACAGTTAGATATTTCTGTATGATTGGGTAGTGATGAACCTTGTTATTACCAGCTTGGTATTTACTGGGTATTTTATTATGTGGACAGTTAGATATTTCTGTATGATTGGGAAATGATGAACTCTGTTATTACCAGCATGGTATTTACTGGATGTTTTATTATGTGGACAGTTAGATATTTCTGTATGATTGGGTAGTGATGAACCTTGTTATTACCAGCTTGGTATTTACTGGGTATTTTATTATGTGGACAGTTAGATATTTCTGTATGATTGGGTAGTGATGAACCTTGTTATTACCAGCTTGGTATTTACTGGATGTTTTATTATGTGGACAGTTAGATATTTCTGTATGATTGGGTAGTGATGAACCTTGTTATTACCAGCTTGGTATTTACTGGGTATTTTATTATGTGGACAGTTAGATATTTCTGTATGATTGGGTAGTGATGAACCTTGTTATTACCAGCTTGGTATTTACTGGATGT